AGCACTGCTGCCGCCCGATGGGCAGAGCAGGGCTCTCAGGCAACATTTGGGGAGAGGAGTAAGGTTCAAGAATGAGCCCATCTGGAAATGCGGTCTGCTTGATGTGGAACGAGGCTAATCATGGAAGATGGTCTAGTTCTGGAATTCAAAAATGTTTTGGTGGTATAACAGTTTTCCGATGTGCACACAGACCAGCTCCAAGTTCACCCATCTTGAATGATGGCCATCAGAGACAAGGTTCAGCTGGACTCCTTCAAATATTTCAAGTATTTGAAAACTATTTGTCAGCAATGGGCTGTTTGCACAAGCCTGATAATCATCTGATGAATTTCCCTTAAGAAGCAGATGATAGAATCCAGCTTCTGCTTCCTCCGACTCTAGACATGGTGGCTGTGCCTACTGGAATTGTAGGAGTTGTGTTCTCAGCATGTCTCGGGCAAAATGCTTGTGCTAGTACCCCAAGGAGTGTTGGGCTACAGTGTTGCAAGAACTGCACCACTGTCTCCTGAGCAGATTACCCCCATTACAGTAGATTAAATCGGATATCTTTGCAACGTGCAAGATCCCTTCATTATTTGGGTATAATTCTTAGAGGGTGCAAGTATCAGGTGCATGTTTTTCTAGAGTTAGAATTGCTCAATAGTTACATAAAGAGGCCAGTCCTCCTTCAGAGGAAGCTATGCATTCATCTAACATTATAGGGCCCAATCTGGGAAGAGGTTTCCTGCTCATCTCCTGAAAATGGCTGGGTGAGCAAGAAGCCGGACAATGGCCAAGACCTCACTTTCTTGGCTGCTCAACCGTCAGAACGGCCTGGCTCATTCAAAGCCTCGGCACAGCCACAAGGTCAGAGTGTCAGAAGCTTGGGACTGAGCCTTTGTACTACCTTGTAGAGGGGGAAGGGGGGGGGCAAGTGATGATCACCATAACTACTCCTAAGGTGCTGTGCATGTGATGCATGTAAAAAGGGGGCAGATTTGATTTGCAAAATTGCGGAGACTATCTTGATTTTCTTGACTCTCACTGCAGGTGCCCTGTTTGGATGGCGCTGTACTTTGAAATGGTCTTGCTTGTATGTGTGGATTGATAACAAAGTGGGATTAATGGCTGTTCCTAAGATTTTCTGGGTTTGCCAACATATGTGTGGTGTGTACGGTGCTTAGTTTTTTCAAAACCTGCTGCGGACCGCATGCATCACAGCAGTTTTCTTACAAGCTAGGTTTGCACAGCAAGCTTAATTTGGCTATTGACTTAGCCTGTTCTTGAATCAGCCTAGCATATGGGATCATGGACTAAGCAAACTTTTTGGTCTATGCAGCCATCTCAACTGCAGAAAAAACTAACCAAGCCTGGGATGGTGTAAAACAGCTTGCAGTGGGCAGGTGCGGCCAAACCCACTTTCTTGGGTGGGGTCTTTGTGATGCCTGCGATGTCTGTTTGCTATATTCCCAGAGGGGTGGACTAGAAGACCTCCAAGGTCCCTTCCTGCCCTGTGATTCTAAAGAGCTGTAAGATCAGGCCAACTGCCAAACACACAACATGCAATCATGTGACCGTCAGAACTTTGAATTCAGGTCATAAGTACCTTTTGGGGTCACTTCAAAAAGTCTCTAATTGACTGGTTGTAAGTCAAGGACTGTATAAAAGGCAGGTGTCCGGAACACTTTTCTTCTGACTAGTTGTTGTTTTATTTTGGAAAGAAGAAGGAAGCTAAGGGCTTCTGGAAGCCGTGAATGGCTTCCAGACACTCTAGTCAGGGCAAGCCATGTTTTCCCTGCCTTTTTGGTTGGGGCGTCTGCTTAAACGTTTAGCAAAATGCAAGTTTTAATCAGGATATAGGCTATCCCAACTCTTCAATGGTTTTTCCTGATAAAACCAATTTTTAAGAAATCACAATGCTGTGTTACTTTGAGTTGGAACTTAGGCTTGTTGGCCAACAACCCTGGGAGAGATTCATCTGAGCGGGAGCCATTTCCTAAATGCGGTTGTTCCCGTGTCTTGGTTGAAGAGAATGGCCCCGGCAGATCAGTAGCCTCTGGCCTGTGATTTGCAAGAGGAAAATGGGAATAAAAAAGCCAATTCAGGCAAGTCCGGAGTTATGCTGGTTGTTCTTGATGTCATCAACTTTCCTTTCACAACGGTTTCTCCGTGTTAGGTTGCTGGCCTTCTCAGATGGGAGTGGGCAAGCTTTTGAGGTGTCCAGTATTTATTTATTTATTCGTGGCTATTGGAACAGGAGAGGCTGGCGTTTTGGTCCCCTTGGGTTGAACTTTAAGAAAGGCATAAATAAATCTACCCGAAGAGACTCAATACACTTTTAGGGATTATTTTGTGGGGAAATCACTGTAGAAAATTAGTAGTTGGCTGCCCAGTGCCAGCCCTATGGTTTGGCGGGGGTTCTGGAGATTGCTGAGCCGTGAGTTCTCCTGCCTTCTCCGGCATTCTCTTCTGCCCTCCTGCTGAAGAATTTGAACGCTTCCTCTTCCTTCGTGTGGCTTTTTAACAGAGGAGCCATTCCTGAGTTTGGCTATGGGGAAGCGTAGCTGAAAAACCTGTTGTGGGAATCCTGCCTTTTTCTCCGGCTCACTTTTTTCTGGTCCTGAGAGACCTGGAATGAACCACTCCGCCCTTGGCTGGCAGATTCTTCCTTGCCACCGAAACTGCCTGATTTCTCTTGCTGACTACTCCAAAGAGAGTTGTCTGGAGCTGGGATGCTGGGGGCACACGGCTCTCTCTTTCCTTTCAGCCTTGCTACCGGAGGGCAGGAGCTGAGGGGCTCCACAATTAGGGGAGGGGGATGACTGACAATCAGTCTGCCTTGTCCTCAGAATACCTTCTTTTACACCTTGTAGAGCAGTGTCTCTCGATCTCAGGGCCTTTAAGATGGGTGGACTCCAATCCCCAGAATTCTCCAGCCAGCATGGGGAACTAGGCACTTCTGGGAGTTGGAGTCCACACTGTGGAAGAGGCCTCTCTGTGGCTTGCCAGATCTGGCTGGAGGTGGAGCATTTCAGGAGAAGCTCCCTGGAGCCTTCAAGCAAGTTAGGGCCTTTTGTCATGGGGTAAAACATCAGGAGGCCTCTGATCTTGACAGTCATCCAGCGCCATGGCACCTGCAACCGATGGAGCTCCAAAGTGGAGAAAAGACAGCAGCCGTGTCCTCCTTGGTGCAAATCGCTTTAGGACATGGGAGGGAGAGTTTTTCAGGCAGGGCCACATCTTTGCTTTGGCCTCTGAGAACATTGGGGGGAGGCGTGTGTTGCTGATCCACGTCACCTTGCTGCCCTCAGAATGGAGGGGCTGAAATCCCTTTCCTGGGTGGTTGCTATTTTTCAGCTGCTATTTTGTTTCTGACAAAATAGGTTGGAGAATTAGTCTCATCCTGTACCCAAACTCCTGCCCAGGACTGTGAGCTACCCGCATAGTTATTTGCCTTGAAGAAGGCCCAAAAACGTGGTCTAGAAGTGCCCTCAGAACCTTCGGAGGAAGCAGCCATCATGTATTAACTGCTTTCCAATATTTGGGTGGCTGTCGTGACCAGCATCAGGTCACTTGGTATTTTCAGATCTTATCTTTTGAAGTGATGGCTTGGATTATATGTCAATGAGTTTTAAGAGAACAGAAAAATGTGGCCCAGAAAATGGATAGCCATATATCAGGTGTGCTTTATGGTAGATTTATTTATTTATTTATTTATGAGACTTATATACCGCTTATAGAGATGATAGTAAGATTGTGTAGGACAGCGGTTTCCAACCTCCGGTCTGTGGACCGGTACTGGGCTGTGGCATGCCAGTAACCCGGCTGCACAAAAAGCAACGCCCCATCTGCGGGATGCAGGCAGCACACAAAACCACACTCCCTCTGGTACGTGGAAAAACCTCTCTCAACATAACCGGTCCCTGGTGCCCAAAAGGTTGAGGACCTCTGCTGTACGAGGTCCTTTCCCACTTTTTTCTCTTTAACCTCCTGCCTTTCAACACAGTGCTTTACAATGTTGGGCTGACTGGCCCAAAGTCACCCAGTTGGCTTTTGTGCCTAAGGTGGAACTAGAACTCACCGTCTCCTGGTTTCTAGCCCAGCACCTTAATCATTAGACCAAACTGCTTGTTTTTACTCAGAACTTACAGGTCTTCATTATTCCCAGCACTGTCCCATCACCTTAACTGGTGACTTGGAATTGGCACTTACATTTTCAAGCTGCCCTGTATTTTGCGACCCTTTGACTCAGGAGCCACATTTCACTAAATGGAAGCAATTAGGCAAAAACTGATTTAGCATTCAATTTTAATTCAAACTTGATAAGTTTTATTTGGCACATGTGATTATTCCCCATGTAAATTTTCCATTTTCTTACAGACACAACTTGTGGAGGGCTCCCTCCCAAAATACGTGGGGGGAAAAATGTGGCCCCAGAGCCTAAAGTGTCAGGTTATCCAATGTAAATAAGATAAGAACAGAGGCCTTCTAAAGAGCTACGAGTACTGCTGTAGGAGAAAGGAGTCGGGAGCATTCGTGTCCTTCTGAACTCTTGGCAATTGTCTGGGCAAGTCAAGGGCATCCTCCTTTCTAAGAATGGCTCAAGGTGCCCCAGCTGGCTTCGTGTCCAAGGCAGGACTAGAACTTACAATCTCCCTGGTCCCAGTCCATGACCTTAAGCCATAGATCAAACCAATTTCTTCCCCAGTTCAGAGAACCCCAGCATGTGAAGGCCAGGATGGTGTGGTTAGAAAAGCTGAGGTGGGTTCTGTAGTACCAGCATTTCTCGCAGGAACTGAATCGAGATTGGTTGATGCAGAAAACGTGCAAGCTCTAATCTTCACTTTCTCCCTATTTTCCCCTCTTCTAGACATAGAGTGCTTTGTCCACAAGTGACCTGTGGTTCGTAAATGTTTTAATCTAAATTACCTTGTGGGATTAAATCATCAACTTGGAATTCAGTTTCTCATTCTAGCCAGGTACTTTTGGTGATTGCATTACTTCTTTGTTTCTTGCATGAGGATCTGTTATGCCAGCTTGGCTTAAACTTGGTTGTGACAACTCAGTAAAACATTTCATTTGTGTAGTGAAACACATTGGAGTATAATTACTTGCTATCCTGTCTCAAACAAGTATTTTCTTCTGAAAGGCTTAGATTATATTAAGCTTGTGCTGGCACCTTTCAAATAAAAAAGACAGGAAAAAGATGCTGAGACCCTAGAAAGAATGCAGAGAAGACCAACAAAGATGATAAAGGGTCTGGAGGCCAAACCATATGAGGAACAGTTAAGAGAACTAGGTCTAGTCTAGCGAAGAGAAGAATTAGGGGTGACATGATAGCTGTCGTCCAGTATTTGAGGGGCTGTCACAGGTAAAAATTCCTGAGTGCAGGACAAGAAGTAACGGGTGGAAAATCGTTAAAGAGAGATCAATGCTAGAACTAAGTATAAATTTCCTGATAGTGAGAACAATTAACCAGTGAAACGACTTGCCTCTGGATTAACTATTTGACCGTGATTCTATGATATAGAAACATAGGGCTACAAGGGATGGTATAAGGTCTGCTGCTCAAGGAGGGGGCTGGACTAGGAGACCGCCAAGGTTCCTTCCAGCCCTATGATTCTATATTCTGTGTTGTCTTTTCTAAATAATCCAGTCCCTTTGCCACCTGATTAGAAGAAATATGGGTATGGGGGTCTAAAGCTTCAGTCCAGGAACAGAGCATCCCTTTGCATAAAAAAGTGGAGCATAATGGAAATATTTTTTAAATTGTTGTGGGGGCTGTTGTGGTGTGTAGAGAGATTCCACTAACACCATTATTGCTAAGCTCTTTGCTCCTGCTTAATCTGGCATCCTGAGTTGCAGCTCCCAATGGTGCTTGCCATGTGGTGGAGGATGCCCAACACAGAGATCTTCCCTATAGAAGACCTCCAAACAATAAGCTGATCGTGACAATCTGAGATACAACATCATTTTGTATTTTTAGTTGCAACCATATCCAATATGACCCTAAACTCCTCTCCAGGTCAAAAAAGTATAGTTCCTTCCATAGCTTTCGAAGAAAAGAGGAACATGATGTTTGTCCCTCTCTTAGGCAACTGTCGTAAGGCATAAAAAGAACAAAACTCACATATCCAGGATAAGGGTTAGCAGCACACCCTTTTCTCAAGAAATCTAGAAGTGTGTAGTCATCATTTCCCACCTCGGAGCATCTTCTGACATTGATATCAAGTGGAGAGGCTACACCTTGGCTTATGTATCAGTGTTCATCATATGTGCTGCTTATACTCATTAGGAAATTTGAAAATTGTGCGGTGTGTTATATCATAGTAAATGGTGCTTAAAAATTTTAGCTAGTAAGGGTAAAGCATCTCTGCTTCAGACTGCTGGATTCCAGCAATCACTGGATGGCCTCCTTGTAGTAAAACAGGTCACAGTCTGTCTCCCCCCCCCCCATCAAAACGCCTTGCCCTTTGGGAGAGCAATGGGGCAAACAAGGGTCTTCTGGAGTCTCTGAAGCTAAATATGATGGATGATCTTCAGGATGGAATCTAACATTTTGGGGTTAATGGCTAACTTGGTCCCTTTTAACCTTCATGTGATTAAGAAGTGGGTAGTGTGTGAGAAATAGTACAATTGCACAATGATATCTTATCATGGAGAAACTTGCTCAGAGGGATTGTATACTTGACATAAATTGGAGGAGTTTCTATATCTTCCCCGCAGAAGTGTTATAAAATTGGGAGGTGCCGGTGTGACAGTTGGAGGCCCTCACTCTCCAACGGCTCCTTCTCTGCCATCGATCTGGCCGCCCTCTTTGAGGCCTAGTCATTCTTGCCTTAAAAAGGAAGCTTATTTCATGGCTGAAGAAGGAAAGGCACTCTTTAAATCTTGAAAACCTAGCAGAGTTTGGTCGTATCGAGTATAAAGAGGTTAGCTATCAGAAATGTGGCTTGTTTTAAAAATTGAAATGAACTTTGGTTTTTATAACTTGTTTTATTAGGAGCCAAATTATTGGAGGACTTGGGTACCAGAATGAGATGTAGCTGTCTACCTGAGAAAGAGATATTTTAGCCATTCAGCTGAGTGGGAAGGGGCTCCAGGGGCCTCCCAGGACAGACTGTCAGCAGTTTCATCCCTCCAAGCAGGGAAACTCAGTCGGCCATTCCTCTTCTGACTCATGAGGCTTTTGCTGAGTCAGAGGGAGTCCCCCCCCCCCAGGCACTCCTGTGCTGCCCATGTTTTATCCAGAGACCTGGCTTAGGGGAGGGCAGAACGGAAAGTCTCGCTGAAGCTCCATCATTGGAGGTTTTCAAAGAAAACGGGGGTGGACTAGAGGACCTCCAAGTCCCTTCCTACCCTCGCATTCCAAGTACCAACAGCCGAGCCTAGCTCATCATAGGGCTGTGGCAGGCGAAGCATTATGTACCTGTGCACTCCCAGATATGCACCTTATGCAAAATGCCCCCCCCCCACCGTGCTTCCCCTGGGAGAAAGTATGTGCAAACTGGGGTCAGTTTCTTTCTGCTGCTGATTTTCCCTGCCTTAGTTTCTTCTTTCAATGGCTGGAGAAGCAGGTGGGTTGGCCTTGGCCTCGCGTTCTGCCACCTTGGAACAGCCGGTGCAAACTTCCTCTGGAACAGACTCTGGAAGGAGGGAGGGCACCCTCTTTCGGGACATGCTTTTTCCGCCTTCAGCCTCTCTCGGGTCACCCCAGGCCTCCTTTCAGGCTGCTCTGCTTCTCCCCGGGTGGGCTTGGCTGGCCTCCGTGGGTGGGGGGGTTGGATGGAGGTGCTCCCTCCACCCCGGGGTGCCAGTGTGCCTCCGGCTGTTGTCAATGGAAAGCAGCGTCAGGCCTCGAGGCAGGGGCGGGCGAATCTCTGCGCAGCCTGCACCTTGGTTCTCTCTGCGTCTTCCCAGAAGTCCACAAACACAACGTGATTGTGCAGGTCATGGTTTCAGCCTGGAGGTGTTGGTTCCTTCCTTGCCATCTCACGGTGACTCAGCGGCATAGAATTCAAGGGAGGGGAGGGGGTCAAAGTACAGCTTTTTATACCAGTCTGGCGTAGCTGGAGCCTAACCCTGCGGCCTTGGCCAAGTTCTTCCAGCCCGTGGTGGAGCATCCTGCCCACACCCTCCTGCAAACAGCTTCTCCACTTTCCAGACGGAAACCAGAATGTGCCAGCTTGGACTATGGCTTTGTGGCACCACTTCCTCCTCCTCCTCCACTAGGGAGTCACGCTGGTTTCTCTTCTGCGGTCGGTCCTGTCGGAGGGGACTCGGTGCAAGGCAACTCCAGGCTGGCCCTGAGGTCACCTGCAGGCCAAGCCCTTCCATGAGAGAGAAAGCCCCATTATGAACCAGCAGAAGCTAAGGCCTGGCTATTGCTAGTGAAGTTTCTTTCAATAATTTTATTAATTGACAAGATCTCTTAAAATGTTTCTGTGTTTGAGGGTTGGAGTTTGACTGAGTAGAGAATTCATCAGGACATGACTTGGACAAGCTTGGGAGGCTGCATTGCACATACTGATTTTAGAGGGCCATTGTGGGAAGGTCCTTCGCTTTTTAATTGGTTTGCCTTTTTCAGGACTTGCACTGGGGCACGGGTGTCAAACTTGCCACGTCACGTGTCGCGATGTATCGCAACTCTTTTTGCATTACCTGCAATGGGGTGGATGTGGCTTCGGTAGGACGAAACTGGCCCGCGGACCAGCAGTTTGACACCCCTGCACTAGGGGCTCCTTTTAATTCCCCCTGCAAGATGTGGGAGATTGCATGAACAGTTTTTCAGTAGTTGAATTCAGAACCAACTGTGGCAACTGCAAAAAGCACAGGTGGCCCCGGAGTTCCAGCAGACTGCACCAAGGTAGGGAGAACCTGTGAAGAGATTTTTGCTTCAGTCGTCTCAAATTAGGCCACATTTTTTGTGTCGTGTTGAAGATTCAGTTCTGGGTGTTGTGTCAGAATATTTATAAATGGAGGAAGGAAAATAGATCCCCTGACATGGAGGATTCCTCCAGGGATGGTACCATGTTTGGAAAGGTCAGATGAATAAATACTTTTCCTCCAGGGGAGAAGAACCTTACCTGAAATTGCTCTTGGAACTTGGATGTCAACATTTTGGATTTCCCCTGACCATTCGGTTTATAGGCTGTTGACTCTGGTGGACAAGAAACAACAGAGAAAACAAAAGTTCTAATAGGATTTTTTTAAGAAGAAAGCCCTCCGTGTGTGACTGGAAGGGAGGGAAACACTGCTTTCAAAGCTTCTGGTTCCGCAAAAAGTGGGTTGCATTACTAGCCAGGAGTCAGGTGGGTCATAAAGATTGTATGTCTGTTCTAAAGCAAGTAGCCACGGAGGGTGGCTTACAGCTCTTGACCCACATTCCTCTTTTTTTTCTTCCAGATCTCCCCCTCCCCTCAAGTCCAGTTCATTCCCCCCCTGAAATTACAATGTTGTCTTACTGCAAATGGGACCCAGAAAAATGGTTGGAATGTATGCATATGTACATAACTATGCTGGTTTTGCAGATATAAGGCTACTTTGGAAAGTAGTCACAGCAAGAACTGCTGTTTGGACTTAAAGCAGATTTGCTCAAGTTCCGGATGCAGATATAATTTTCCCCTCATCAGTATTTTAGAGGAAGAGAATGTGTTGCTGTCATGGAATTGCCATCTGCTTCATGTGGATGTGGAAATAGGTCTTGGTCTGCTCACAGCAGCCAATGGGACTTGCTCTAGAGCAGGGTTTTTCAAACTTGACAATTTTAAAATGTGTGGACTTCAACTCCCAGAATTCCACTTGTGTCTGGCCATTAACAAACCCAAATAGCATCTCTTAAAATATGTTGCCACAATGTGATGTCATACAATCAAAATTTAAAAGTCAACTTGTATTTCCAATTAGCTGCTTGATTATTTTTAACTTGGATGTTTTCTTCTTGTAGGTGTTTTGTTGGCGGTGTGCCATGCCTTAGAGAACACAACATCAGCCTTGAGGGGTGAGTTTATTGCATCACAAGATCTGATACCTTAAAACTTCACCAGCAACTGCTCTTATCTTCGGGTGGGACTGTGTGCTAAGCATCAGCCACTCTGGGGCTTGGATGAATGGAGGAGAGCAAGATTTTGAAGCTCCCCATTGGTCCTCTCTAGCCAGAGGCCTTCCAGGTAGATTGAGCTTGTGGCCACTTGTGGGTGGGGAAGACTTTAACCCCATGTGCTTGGGGGGCAGCTGATTTCCTCTGGACCATTTGTAAATCAGCAGCTTGAGGGAACTCAGCTTTTATCTCAGCAAGCAATCGGGACCAGACAATCACCTTCTACTTCCAAGGTATGGACTGTTTGGTCCATTCAACAGCAGTAATTGTGACAGGGATTTAGGTGTCCTGGTGGATCACCACTTAAGTATGAGCCAGCAGTGTGCTGCAGCTACCAAAAAAGCCAATGCAATCCTACCTGCATCAACACAGATAGCATCAAAATCACTTGAAGTGATAGCACCGCTTTGTAATGCCTTGATAAGACCACACTTGGAATACTGCATCCAATTCTGGTCACCGTAATACAAAAAAGATATTGAGACCTTGAAAACTGAGCAGAGAAGAGCAACAAAAACAAGAGGTCTGGATGTTAAACTGTACAATGAATGGTTAAGGGGACTAGGTATGTCTGGTCTAGGAAAGAGAAGGGTCACTACATGTATGGCTAGAAATCAAGAACTACCTGTACTCTTTCATTTTTGCCTTTGCCTCACTTCTTAGCAAGCGTGTGTTCTTCTTGAGGCTATTATTGGTATCCATAGCAGAATTTATCTTTTTGAGGATCTCATTTTTCTGAAAATAACATTTCTTGTTCCAGAAATATGTGGTCCTCGGAAGCTAAGCAGAACCCCCTGGCTCTCTGTCTTACGAAATAATTTCATCCTAAGTTAAAAAGCTCTTCTATTAATAATGAAATTATTATTATTATTCCATCACTGGAGATTTTTAAGAAGAGACTAGACAGTCACTAGTCTGAGATGGTATAGGTTCTCCTGCTTGAGCGGGGGGCTGGACCTCCAAGATCCCTTCCAGCTTATATTCTATGTTATATGTTCTATGTTCTGTTCTGTTCTATTCTAAATAAGAACTGTGGCCAATGTAATTGGATTTCCTCTGAATCTTTAAATGAAATATATCTTACGGATAATGTGCATTTCTGCCAAGGCAAACTTGTGTGTTAGTGAAATACACACATTTTATCAGATTCGTAGAGTTACACCTGCAGGGTTTAAAAGATGGCAGAGGGAACCTTGACCACTTCCCTGGGCCGCAGCCCCTGGGGGGGGGCATTTTAAACACATGCTCAGTGGGATTCCAGAACACTGCTGGACATGTGCTTAAAACCCCCTCCCACAATTTCAGCATTCGATTGCAGCCTTTCAGGACACGTGTCCAGCAGTCGTCAGAAAACTCCTAGACATGCTTCAGAGTGTCCCATGTCCATCGGTCTCAAATGCAGTGGCAGAACTGTGCCCTGGAGAACTTTGTTGGGGTTATGCGGCCAGCGCCCCACAATAAAGCCACTCTAAAGCCAGGTGGCTGGCTCTTTTGAGGGTCAGTGGGGGCAAAACAAGAGATCCAGGTGTTGCCTGCACAATCTCTCTAGAGTCTGTCTGATGCTCAAGTGAAGCTTCTGTGTCCTCACTAACCCCCAGCCTCTCGCATAACCTCCTCTCTTAATCTCCCTGATCTCTGCCGAAGAAACTCCGGCAGTTTCTCCAACATACTTTTGGAGGGCACTGCTTACTAATGGCTAAAATATGCAGGTGCGGTTCCAGACATCTCTGTGGTTGATTTTTCTCACAGCAGCTTTCAGTGGCATCTTGTTTGGCAGCTTCCAGCTGATGCTGCTGAGAAAAGTGTTTGGTGTCAGCATTTGTTCCATCCCCATTTCTCTGGAAGCATTTTGCTAATGGAGGAGGCAGCGTCTGGGGCGGCCTTTGTGAAAGGAGCACCTTCCTCTTTCCTCGTCCTCATTTCTGCCAGGCAGAATGACCTCATCAGGACTGGCAGTTCCATGGCGAGGAAGAACAAGTGGCATTCCTCTCTTTCAACCTGGTTTAAATTGTATGTTTGCCTCCATCATGGCACGGCCTTTACGCACTCGGGAACACGACTCTACTGTTAATGGTTCTGCTTTTAATGTACTGAAGTTGTTATTTTTTCACTAAAGTCATCGACCAGGTTCTTCTGGACCTCATATTTTAAGGAGGGTTCAGAGAAACTGGAGCTGGTTCAAAGAAGGGGAGTGAAGATGGTCAGAGAGAAGGGAGTGACCAGGAGAGCTTGAAAGATCTGGGAATGTTTAGCCTGGTGAAAAAGATGACTGCAGAAGGATCCAGAAAGGAGAGCATTGAGAAGGCTGGTCTCTCTTCTGTCTCATCTCAGAATGCAGGACGTAGAATGGCGGATGTAAGGAAAGGGAAGAAGATTCTAATTGTCCATTAGACAAATAAGAACAGTAGGATCAGTGACCAAGGAAGGGGACAGGCACCTCTTTGCTGGAGGCATTCAAGCAAAGCCAGGGAATCATTTTCTGGGAAGGATGATAATGTGAGACTGAGTGTCCTCCGTGGCCCCTTTCAAGTTGGCCATTCTATGAAGCGCCATCTCCAGTTGAGCACTGGTGATTCCAAGAAGCAATGATGTCCTTTCTCTGGGTGGCTGTGAAAGTTGTCTTTACGGCACAGCTGATGGGACAGGAAGGAGGCAGCTTCCTGTCTCTCATCAGGATCTTTGCTATCCCCATATTGGGCCTCCACATCTGGAACCTTTAGGATGAAAAAAAACCATGATTTGGAAGTAGCCATCAACTTTCGTAAAGTTCCTCACATCATATTGGTGCATGCAGCAACCATAGGCTGAGCCTGCCCCCCCCCCTCTCTCTCTCTCTCTCTCTCTCTCTCCCTCCCTCCCTCCCTCCCTCCCTCCCTCCCTCTCTCTCTCTCTCTCTCTCTCTCTCTCTCTCCCCCATCCATTCCATTCCATTATTCTCCTTCTCTCCTATAGGGGAAAATCAGACTCTGCAGTTGAACTACAGGATTTGCCCAAATGGTGCCTTGAGGGTGTCTCCCAAGTTCTGGGGTGGGAGAACCCACACTTGCCTGCCTCATAGTCCTCTCACGCACTCTTTGCCCCAGCTCTGAGCCTATAGATTCAGCCCAGCCTTCTTTGACTCAAGGGTCCTGCAACTCGGGGAGAGTGGCCCCCCTCCCGCTACTGATTGGGGACAACACCTAGATGGGAAAGGCTTTATTGGCGCTCTTGATCCTGCAAGCCAAGCTCAATTTCCTGAGTCTGAATTGGCCAGCTTTTGTCGGGCTGCTTGATAATGTTGGTGGCAGGGTTAGGATGAGTGCCAGGAGCCAGTAGATCAAAAGGGAGCACTAATTTCGGCTGGAATGGCTCTCTCTGTTACTCATCAAGTAGCGGTTCTGCTGATGTTTTGCAGCCATGGGAAGGGAAAGCTGTGCTGCAGCTGCCAAGTCAGGCGGGGGGGGGGGGGAGACTTCAATGAGTAGTAAGGAAATACAATTGTTATTTTATTCTTCCATTGACTTCCACACTCTTGCGCGAGATGTGGGATGCTACTGCTTTGTATCGCATGCACTTTGAGTCCAACCACTCTTTTTTCCACATAGGAAGCCACGTATGGGGCCACGTACTTGCGCCTGGAACCAGAGCTCTAAAGGGCTTTGGAAGGGTCTCTGAAGGAGAAGCCCTCATGCTCTCTGGGCAAGCCATGAATGACAGCGTGCGAAGACAGGCAAAGTCTAAGCCATTAGAGAGAAGAGTGTGCAGTGAAACGAAGGAGTGTTGCCCGCCCCATCGCTAAATAAGTGCAGGAATGCCACGCTTGGTCCTTGAGAATGTCCTCAAGGCTCTCTCCTCCTCTGGAGGGATCTGTCAGCCCAGCCTTTTATATCAGATGGAATGAAAATTGGGGTTGGGGGGAAGGTGCCTTTGCTCCTGCTGCCCCAGAGAGACTGAACCCCCCCAGGGGAAGAGCTTTCACAGGCCATGCCAGGACTGGGGCACCATGACGCCTTTAGACTTCTTATATTAGCTGAAGTGTTGAGATGTCAAAGGACTCCTTTGGTTGTCAGTGTGGGTTGTAAAAATAGGTGATTCAGTTTTTCACAGGGAAACAATTTCTTGCTACTCTGCCTTGATGTGTTAGCACAGAGCTCCCCAACCTTTTGGGCACGAGGGACCGGTTCCGTGGAGAGAGCTTTTTCCGCAGGCCGGATGATGCGTGGTTTTGTGTGCTGCCTGCATCCCACAGATGGGGCTTTGCTTGTTTGTGCTACTGGTCCACGGACTGGGGGTTGGGGACCCTTGTGTTAGCACACGTGAGTGCCTGGGCCCTCAAGCACAGTCTGAGACCTTGGCAGAACCTTTGCCTGCTTCATTTGAAGAATGTGTTGTAATGCTGACGTTTGGCACAGTTGCCAGCGTTGTTAAAATACATGTGGGAAGTTTTTGCTGTCCTAAATTCCAATTTTGCTCTTGGCTATTTAGGGTGGTAATGTAATGTCTGAAACAGTGTTGTTAGTTGTGTCCTGCTTTCCAGGCTAAATAGAAGGAACCCTTGATGGTGTATGAAGTATTACACCGATTTTTTATATAAGCATCTCCTGCCAAACAATCTATCTGGTGTTGGGGATTTCGGGGGAAGTGATAGTCCTGCCACAAATACTCAGCTGAGACCACAGTAACCAGTTCCGCTACGTCTGTGTTGGGCCAGTTTTAGGAGAGGCACACTGAGTAAACTCCTTCCTTACTGCAGTTTAAGAGGGGGCTCAAACTAAATGTATATTCCCCAGCTTTTAAATACTGTTTTAGTTTCACATGTTAAGCTTTGTTGCTTTGTTGGTTAAAATCACTGCAGTTTACAAGCCACCCTGGCCTTAAGGGAGCAGGTGGCACATCCCTTTTCTCAGGGATTAGCTGCAAGA